AATTAGAGACATGTTAAGAATGAAGGTTATTGACTAGGTTAACTCTAACAACCTGTTCGTCACAGAGTTTATTTACTAGGTAAGGTATTATAGAACTTTTATACTTTTGCTTGCGTGCCTGGATTTTAAAGTAGTTACGTCTCGTTCTACCAGATGATATACAAGGAGAAAGTTAAGAGTGAAGGGAATGGTTAGTATCTGATAAAATAACACCTGCCAGGAGTTTGCATGACTTTAGATGTCTATCCACAACCATATTAATTATGACTTCGAAAGATTCACCACACATCTTGCTAACTGCCTTCAGCACTCTCCGCAATACATCAAAGTCTTTTCTCAAAAGCCCGGGAAAGAATAATAGAGAACAGTAAATGATAATAGGTAATATGCAAGAATTGACAAATTGTAAGAGTAAATGACGAGTAATCCCAAAAGCATGCAATCCCTTTATGTAGTAAGTCAGACGGAAAACCTTCTTCGATAATAATAAAATGATAGAAGACCAAGAGAGATCAGACGAAAAGGCAACACCAAGATAGTTGGCCTTCGACACTGTGTTTATCAAAGAGTCTCCAATAGCACAAGCATTATGGGATCTCAAAACGGTGTTTAGATGCTGTTCATGTCTCACGCTAAAGTTAACAGCTTGACATTTAGACGGATTACGTATGAGACCATTACCAACAGACCAACAATCAATACGAGACAAAAACTCATTCATTTCTATGAGATGTAAACAGGAAGAGATAGGCATTCATACAGCAAGATCATCCGCATATTTCACAAAAGATTTTTCTATGGAAGATGGCAGATCATGCGGAAAAAAAGAGAAAAGAAGAGGTGAAAGAACAGCTCCTTGTGGTACACCTTCATGAGACAGTAGAAACTCTGAACACTCTCCTCCAAATACAGTGTACTGGTCCCTTCCAGAGAGGTAGGAACATAGCCAGTTGGTTATCTAGCTGTCAGTGTTGACGCTGATTAACTTGTTAATTAAACGTTGTCTTATTATAACTATTTAAGTGATTATAATCATATTCTTAACCATTTCTGGCTTGTTATTGAATTCACTGAACTTCTTTTAAGTAACCATAACTAATTGAAAGAAATTAATTCTCATACTAACTAATAATACTAGATATTGTTGTGGTATTGATATTATTATATTTACTGTATAAAAGATATGAGAGTTCATTACACATAATTATTAATACCACATTAATCCGTTTTAAAAGTTATATCTTTGAATAATAGAAGATCAACTTATTCTGATGGAGTTTTGTTCTCTGAACTAGATGGTTTGGCCGTGAAGCTTTCATCGTTCTTCTGAACAACATCATCAACACAAACTTCAGGTAGATGTCTGTGTTGATGATACCATTCAGAAGAACGATGAAAGCTCCACGACCAAACCATCTAGTTCAGAAAACAAAACACCATCAAAATTATTCAGCTAAGTTACAAATCTTCCCATTAACTTATTCAATTCACAAATTCCTTATCTTTAAAATTTTCTTATAATACATTATAAACAAATTTCATTTATTAACAGCAATGTTTAATTATAATTCAATTATATAAATAAAATGTCATTACATAAAATTTACCTTAATAATACATAGAGGAAAAAAAACACACAAAATGTTATTGGTTAAACAAATGTTAGGATCTATTTTAATGAACCAATCATTGATGATTATTGATTGATTAAAATTACATTTGACATAATGTTAAAAGAAATCAATACATTTGTTTATCACTATGCATTATTCAAAGGAAAAGTGTAGTGGTGTTGCCGTTGTTGTTGTTTTAAAGCTTAATAGGATTAATTTAGATCAAGTCTAAATGAATACACATAGACTTAGTGAAACATAAATGGTAGGATGATGATGATATCATACGATCAATCCTTTTTCTTTATCATTTTTTTTCAACATTAACCTACTATTTTGAAATTGTTTTTCTTTTCAAGTTAAGATTTTGAAATAGTAGATATATTTTATAGCCTTCATTAATAACTATATCAATGTATAATGATCAGTAACAAATATTTGTAGACAATATCATTAATTAAATATGAGGAAATCTGGAGATATATTTCGCGTAAATGAAATGAAACCAACTTAATTGTGTAATGAAATGTTTATTGTGTAGTTTCATTTGCTTTAATTTATAAATGAAAAACATGGCCATTAGTGAATGAAAAAGTATTTGTTAGTTTACAATAATTGATCATAGGTGTCTTTAAAGCATTTCTCGTTTATGCTGAGATCATCTAGTAAGGAATACTGATGTTAGAGATAGGGTACTGGGTAAAGATAGAGGATCTGTGATGAAATAGTAAATCATTATCAAATTAGGTGGTCGAGATGTGTTTTACGGATGTATAACCACTGTCCACCTCGATGGATGATGTCGTTTAGTGTAGTAGGCTGAGACGACCAAACTAGGACGTAGTACCAGTTCATGAAACCAATCTTTGTCTTACTGAGCCATTTAGGTAGGTGTAGACTACCTAGTTAGGATCAGGACGATTAACGTAAGCAGTAATTAAAAAACTAGTGTCATTTCTCAATATCATTCGTAATTGCACGGATATATTCTCCATGATCCTGAGTCTGAAATCCTTCCTACAGTTTTTTCTTCCTATAGCTAGACGTTTTCACTAATACTAATACTATTACTACTTCTACTGCTTTGTTATAAAAGTTTCGTTTATTTGTGTTAATGCTATATGTAAACTTGAACAGTTACACATATATATCAGGTTCTACGTTGCATGTAACTGACTGACTGACTGATTTATAAATGTACTTGTTCAAGTCTTTTCTTGAGTACCTTTAAAATTTTCTCGTTAAAGTTTACCTTGAGATAAATATTTACACATATCATTCATACGTCAGTTAAGACAGATCATCCGATCAACACCATTCTACCTTATGCTTATCATAGCACAATAGGCTAAGTCTTTTGAATTTTGTGAAATGAAGGATTCATTCCACAACCTCTTTGTAAGTATATTTTACTATTAATGATCTGTAGTTATAGACCGACCTTAGTTAATAGTAAATATCAATAAAATCAATATGATACTATAAATAACAGATTTTAATCAGAATGAAAACATTTAAATAGTGGGATATATTCATACGTCATTACTGAGATGTTAGAATATAGATATCGATAATCAAAAAAGATTTACTATTGTCTATATTATTACTTAACAAAAAACACACTGTTAAATAAACAATATAATTAGATAATTTTTATACGTTATATATATATAGATATATATACCATACTGTTACTAAGGTGATGCAAATTTTGTATCCAGTAAAATAACTCAAAGATTGAATGATAAGATAGGCAGAATTAATTCTACGTAGTCTCCCTCTCTTTATCTTGATAAGCTGGATTCATTTTATTCCATATATTATTGTTATTTATATACTTTTCTATTACTAACATCAATAAAATTGAGTTAACACTCACTTAATCGTATTGTAATATCCTGAATTCAGATCATCTCATATGTGATTTAGTCTTCCATGAAATATTTGTTCTGATGTGTAAATACAACGACATGTCTAGCATCTTATCAATTAATGATTAAACGTATTCAAGTTAACAATCTGTACTAGACATTTTGACGTTAATAATTTTGTTAACTTAGGATACTGTAATTTAGTGCTTTGAGATCTGACTACATGTAGATCATTTGCTGTTTATTATTGAAGTATACATATCACCAATCCTCATATATAATTATCAACTTAAATCGCGTCAGCGAATGATGGAATAAAATAAATCAAATACGAGAATGAATTTCGAATACATGTATTCCATACATTCGTGGATCTAGACAAACGATCGGAGAAATGGAACGAGAAAAAAAACAAAGAGAAGGGAGCGAAGCAAAACGGATTGCAGACGACGTGTGAGCCATTTCGATTTAATCAATCGTTAATCGATGTTTATAGTCAGACAAAAATAAGTTACATGCATGTGATAAGGTACTAAATGCACACACATACTATTACATAGAAACAGTTAAGTTTGATAAGCAAATAACTGACAGGATTAAAAATATGGCTTGAAAAAAATGAATAGATTGATCCTTTCAGAGGCAAGGATAACCTGTGCACTTGACATCGTACCAGCCCTTATGTGTAAGTGTATCTATCTCTTCGAAACATTAATTTAGATTTATAATTGTAGGATCTGAAAGGAATTTAATGAAATGAATGTTGTTTGTTCAGTTCAGATATTCTCGCTTTGGTAAAAACAAAGATTTTTAATCGATATATATATATATACTAGTTAACCAGACGTATGTTTGATCAAACGATTTATGAATCAACAATACAAACCAATGTTAAGAGACTTCATTTTATTTAGAAAACAATACGAACAACAATACGTTAGATAAATCTTTGTGATGTAAATTGTCTAGTTTCTAAAAACAAACAACTTCAGTATGTGGTAAACAACTAATATTCTCTATTTATTTGCAAGTTATACATTTGAATAAATTTCCACATTCTATTAAACTTAAACTAATCTTCAGAATCAGTTATTTCGTATTTTTGTACCATTGAACAATTACATTTATATCTCAATAGTTGGAATCATGTGTCAATTGAAGCTAGACCACCATGGAAAACCTAAAACCACTGGACGGCCGTTTCGTTAGATATTAACACCGTTGGTTGCTGGCTCAGCAGTCTAATAGTTAAGCGCTCGCGCGCGAGACTGATAGGTCCTGAGTTGAAATCTCGCGGGTGGCGGGATCGTGGATACATACTGCTGATAAGTCTCATAGTAAGACGAAATGGCCATCCAGTGCTTCCAGGTTTTCCATGGTGGTCTAGCTTCAATTGACTTATGATTTCAACTATTGAAATTTGTGAAATCTCCACAAAACCCCCTCTAATTATATGTATATATATAAATAGAAGACTATATCATCATTTAATTAATAAATATCAGGTAATACTTACCTGGAATAAAAACTAGACAGACTAACCAAATCCAAATCAATTTGTTCATTGATCAATAATAATATTAAAGCATAATATTTCCTCAAGATGTAATATGTTGTAAATTTTATATCATACATGAATTAGTTTATAAATAATATGTAATATTTTAAAACAGACTCATTATTCTATAGAGTGATATAAACTATTACTTATCTTTTTTTCCCATTTTGTTAAATACACAATTTTATTTATTCACTAAATCTATTTCATTGGTTTATTTCAATCACATACCAATTTGAAATTTGATTGGTTGAAAAAAAATAACGAATCAAAATTGGACAAAAAAACTAATTCACATTTAAACAATAAAATTTATCTAACTTCAACTAATCCACGAAATTGAGCGACACATTCACCATTGTCTTCAGTGAGTTACTACCTCACAACAGACCTGGTAGAACTCCACTGGTCACTACTTCTCACTAGAACTCCAGGATATACCTCGTGAAGCCAGTCACTAGTGAGCATATTTTTGATTAATATCAGATGGGTTTTTGTGGAGATTGTAGTAATTTCAATGGTTAAGATCATGAGTCAATTGAAGCTAGACCACCATGGAAAACCTGAAAGCACTGGACGGCCGTTGGATGCCGGGTCAGTGGTCTGGTGGTTAAGTGATCGCGTGCGAAACCAATAAATCTTAGGTTCGAATCTCGCAGGGGGCGAGGTCGTGAATGCACGCTTCTGAGGAGCCCCATACTAGGAAGAAACGGCCGTCCAGTGCTTTTAGGTTTTCCATGGTGGTCTAGCTTCAACTGACTCATGATCTTAACCATTGAAATAAAATATACATTCTATTGTTATTTAAACAAATATTGTTAACTTCAAATATTTACAGTTTTCATTTTCTTTTTTTTAAAAAGGTTGATTTAATGAGAATAAATGTGATAAATTTATATTCTTATCGATATATATGAACGGTTTGCTTAAATATCTGAGCTACCTGTTCCTACGACTTAGATATTTCAACACGTTATCTGTTTGCTTGTTTTTTATTAACAGATCATTATGTCTATGAATCGCATAAACTATTCAGGTAAGTTTATGAAAGGTTTACGACCTTTCTCTGTATAAGTGACAAAACAGCTGAAACCGAAACATCATGATTACTGGCATTATGAATCAAAATGAATGTAAATTATTCAGATGTCGATTCTTGGCAATCATTCAATATTTAACGTCAGGATTGATCAAGTTATTCGAAATGGGAACTTGTTAGAATACTTTGCGCTGAAAATTCTATATTGTGCCAAAAACATAATACTGAATACTACTAATAATAATGATAGTAATAATAATAATAATATCATTAGAATACATTTTTCTTTCATAAAAAGCAACTTGATTTTTCAATTATATTTAATTCAATTTAATTTTACCTAAAAAATTTTGATATAAATATTTTATGGATGTTTAGTCACTTTCGAATAATATGAAATTAAAACAAAATCTTCAACAATTGACTATAACACTGAAAATGTTTGATTTCAATTTTTATCATTAATATGAATATCTCTCAGTTATAATTATGAATCGTTTTGTACGTTAGACTCAGTTTCTAATCTTTTCTAGTATCCGTCAGGCTAAATCTACACAGAAACTTGAACATGAAAGAAAAAGTGCGATATTTGGAAGAAACGCTTCACTCTAAGTTTCGTTTATTTACAGAAAATCTAGGGGTTGTTTTAGCAATTTGGATGATCTTGACTTTCCAGAAAATTCTGGAACTCTACTAAACACAGTAGCAGTATAAGTAACCATCTAATCGCAAACTCGATATGTGACTTTTCAGTCTCTAGATGTTTCTGGTAAAACTTCTAGTGAATGCTGATAGGATAAGAAGCTTCCTAACGTTTTCAGAACCTTTTTTGGCTTTTTCCAAGGAGTTTTCTGGATCTCCCCAACGTTAATGTATACAGCAGTTATTTTAACTGAGATTCCAGGTATTCAGATTGTGGTGTGTTTTACTTATATGCATAGCTATGAGCAGTATTTAGTACATATCGGAAGTGGGATGCTTACCGAGAGAAGACTGGAATAAATTAAAGTGGCAAGAAAACAGAGAGTAACCAAAATAACAACAGAATTTAAAGAATGCTGGAGTATGCAAAGGACAATTCAAGGAAGATGTGCAATTAATATATATTTAATCTGTGATTTTCATATTTTATAAAGGCATTGTGTGATTGTGCATAAAGTAATAACTAAAACTTTCTTCACTACAAGATATATCTAAAAATGTTTACTATTTAAATAGAAATGAGATTGCATCTTATTACTGATGCACCGCTTTGCTTATAATTTACTTTTGAAATTTTAATAAAGATGTAGTACGAACTTAGATAAACTTGAATTTTCGTTGCAGAATGTTTGCTAACTAATTAACTTGAAATAAAGAATTAATATTACTATTTTTGTGTGTGTTTTTTTAGGTTTCTCAAATTGTTTGTAATTATCACTTTCATGTTTTGCCTTTCTCATATTCAACATTTGAATAGTTTTGATTTCATTTTATCATTTACTAGCTGACCATTCATTAATGAACTCTTTTATGACACCTCGGATTTCAAAACACTTCATTATCCAATGCACCTATTTCGCTGAATTTCCTTTAATTGTTTTTTAGTGACAAAAAGGATTACTTATGTTTTTCTTAATGACTTACCAAAAAATATTGTTTTGACAGTTAATTTTGATTAATTCTAACTGTTTATCAGTAAGTTACCGACAACCTGAGGTTGCTTTGACTTAAGTAAGTTTACAACACTACTGCGGATAGATAAGAACTTTAGTCTTTAGTAAATTGAGATTTTTGTGTAGTTTTAACGATTACGATGATTGTTGACTTGCATAATCAGTTATTGAAAAAAAGATCAACAGCCGAATAGATTGTGGGTTTATTTAGTCTAATCATAAAACAAATGAAAAACACTAATGATATAAACATATCTCTTTCGTCTTATTGGTGATCATTCATTTAGTATGTTACCATACACTTACTAACTAATTATTTAAGCGGTTTCAATAGGACACCTGTTCAGATTGTTCTATTTTTTGTTTACATCACGAACTGATTGTATACGTAGAAAATCATTGACAATCAGGAAACACCGAACAACTACTTCGTCTTAGTGTGAGATCCTTTACCAGTGCCTTCAAGGAAGAAGCTCAAGAACCTTTCCAAATGAAGTGAATTTAGAAATACCTGCCCACCAAGTGGCCCGTTTCCCGAGACCTGTCCGATGAGCTTGAATGGTCTGAATTCAAACATCTGAAGCACTGAGATGCTACCTCTTAAAAAGAAACATACCAGAGTGTAGTGAATATTCAGTGTTTCTTCGTTCATAGTGAGAGTACGACTGAAGTCAAATAGTGGTTTTAACTGGCAATAACTATGTTACGTTATGTCAAGGAATGGTAGTAACAGTGAATAATTTTTCTAAAGATTATATCATTATAGTAAGGAATTTAGAAAGCATTTAGTTTAACGTAAGTGATATGAATTTTTGTGCATTATTTCAATAGTTTCCAATACTTTTGGGTTTATGATTATTATGTGAATTCCGACCCTATAAGTTTAATCAAATAAAGTATACTACTGAAAAAATTTGAAAGTTGAAGAAAATATTTGGACTAATTCAAGTAATACAAATTCTAATAACCAGTAAGGCAGATTAATAATCATCAAATTAAACTTAATTACTCGGAAATAAAAAGTATATAAGAACCAAAGAATCAACAACATAAGTATTCAAACAAAGCTTACAGACCAAATCGCAACTCTACGGATAATTGTGGAACAATCAATTGAATGGAATTCATCACTCTACATCAACTTCATTGACTACGAAAAGGCATTTGATAGCGTGGACAGAACAACACTATGGAAACTTCTTCGATACTACGGCGTGCCTCAGAAGATCGTCAATATCATACAGAACTTATATGATGGATTGCACTGCAAAATTGTGCATGGAGGACAGTTGACAAAGTCGTTCGAAGTGAAAACCGGTGTTAGGCAAGGTTGCTTACTCTCACCCTTCCTCTTTCTTCTGGTGATCGACTGGATCATGAAGACGTCAACGTCTGAAGGGAAGCGCGGGATACAATGGACATCTAGATGCAGTTGGGGGATCTAGACTTCGCAGATGATCTGGCCCTTCTATCCCAAGCGCAACAACAGATGCAGGAGAAAACAAACAGTGTGGCAGCAGCCTCAGCAGCAGTAGGTTTCAACATACACAAAGGGAAAAGCAGGATTCTCCGATACAACACAGAATGCACCAATCCAATCACAATTGACGGAGAAGATTTGGAAGATGTAAAAACCTTTACATATTTGGGCAGCATCATTGATGAACAGGGTGGATTTGATGCAGATGTGAAGGCGCGGATCGGCAAAGCAAGAGCAGCATATTTACAACTGAGGAACATCTGGAACTCAAAGCAACTGTCAACCAACATCAAGGTCAGGATTTTCAATACAAATGTCAAGACAGTTCTACTGTATGGGGCAGAAACCTGGAGAACTACAAAAACCATCATCCAGAAGATACAGGTGTTTATTAACAATTGTCTACGTAAAATACTTCGGATCCGTTAACCGGACACTATTAGCAACAACGTACAGTGGGAAAGAACAAACCAGATCCCAGTGGAGGAAGAAATCAGGAAGAATCGCTGGAAGTGGATACGACACACATTGAGGAAAGCACCGAACTGCGTCACAAGACAAGCCCTCACATGGAATCCTGAAGGTCAAAGGAAAAGAGGAAAACCAAAGAACACATTACGCCGGGAAATGGAGACAGACATGAGAAAAATGAACAAGAGTTGGATGGAACTAGAAAAGAAGGCTCAGGACAGAGTGGGTTGGAGAATGCTGGTCGGTGGCCTATACTCCATTAGGAGTAACAGGCGTAAGCAAGTAAGTAAGTAAGTATATTTGCTTAAGTTATGATTGCACTAACACATGTCAAAGTCCTGGCAGCCGAATGAATCGTTTAAATTCCACCCGACTTTTATTTATTCGGTGAGAAATAATGAAAACTCACATTCTATATTTTATATCTGGTCGATACTATGATTGGCATTTAACTCTTAGAAATTTCCTAGTATTTCATTATTTTTTTATTGCTTATTTGAATATTTTTCAGTGTTGATACATTTGTTTAAAA